GATCGAAGTAAGTGGAATTATCAAGTGATATTTAATGCATACTTACCTAAAATCATTATTTGCACACCTAATTTTCAACATAATAATAGTGGCCAACCACTCTGTACTATAGTTTGTGCATCTGTTTAAGGTTACGGACATTATCAGATGCTGATTGCTGAGTCTTATATTTTAATTAAATAGCCTTCTTAAAAGATTGCTGAGTGTTAGAGGCATCAAATAAACTTAATTACGGAGTAAAAGATATTCCTCAGTCTCAAGTCTTTGCTTCATTTTTTTTTTTTTTGGCCCCTTTATTTTTGTCTCATCCTATTTTTAGTTCTAAGAAACTACAGTTGTGTTAATTTTTGCTTTCATAATCACTTCATTATGTCTTACCACTTTTCTTTCACGTTAATTCCTTCCTATTAAAAAGTTAATAAGCTAACTTTATTCCAGTGGAGCAAACAAAAAAGGCAAAGGGAATTATTTGGTTTTTATGTTAAACTACTAATCAAGGATGCTTTAATGCACTGTTTTTAAAGTTTTGATGTAGTCCGAAAATGGAAAGTTGTTAGTTGGAGCTAATAATGAAAAGAAAGAGTATAAATTTAGAGTTATCAATTCATAATTTCAAACAAAAAAGAGCCAAAAACAAAAAATTTAGGGTCCGTTTACTTTAGGTTAATTTCAGTTCAATTTAGCTCAAATCAGTTCAGTTTAGTTTAGTTCAGTTTCTAATTTTCTTCTCTCATAAAATATTCATTTCAGCTCTATTCAGTTCAGTTCAATTCAGCTCCAACCAGTTAAGTTCAATTCAATAAATGTGAACAAGGTCTTAGAATGTTTTTTTTTAATTAAAAATTATTATTATTATTATTATTATTATTATTATTATTATTATTATTATTATTATTATTATTATTATTCTGTTACTTGTATTTTTGCTTAGTTGGGACACTTGGTGTAAAAAGGTCTTAAGTTCCTAACTAATAACCTCATGCATAAATTAGCTTAGTGATATTGGTAGTTAAAATATAGCAAAGATAATGGATATCACCAAACAACCATATATATCAAACCAATTTTATTCATTTGTCAATACTTAATAGCCAGGTTGGTTGTAATCTTGATTAAATAATTGTCGTTTTTCTTTTACTTCTTCTACAAGTGATAGGGATAGGGTTATAGCTTTAATTATTGTACTTGTATCTTTCTTCAATTCATTATATAATCAAAACAGAGTGCTAATTTATATAATTTTTCTTTTTTTTTGGGTGATGGACGTGATTGGCAATGAGTTAAACATGTCAAAGATGTTGGTTTGGTTATAAATTTAAGCCTAGTAAAGTTATTGTAGGGTAAAGTAATTTTACTTATATTTATGTATTAAATAATTTTTGTATGGTACACATACAAGTATCCATTTTTTGGCAAATTTTTACTTGGCAAATTTTTGTGAATATTTCACCCTTGAAAAGAATGTATTTGTATGTTTAAGGAGAAATTTTCAGACACATACTCCCTTCGTTTCAGAATGATGTTCCTGTTTCGTAAATCGATGCAAATTTTGACTCAATTTTGACCGTAAATATCTTTTTTCTCACACTAGCAAAAATTATAAAAGTTAGATATTAATAATCTACTCACCAAGACGAATAAAACTAGATCCCACATGACTATATTTATTCTTATAGATTAAGAGAAATTTAGAAGATTCTCTCTTTCTTAAAAAAAGTCAAAGATTCCAAATAGGAACATCATTGTGGAACGGAGGGAGTATCTTTTATACTCCGTACATTTTATTAAATTTTTTATAATTCATAAGCAAATGGTTTAAATATTAAGTAATAAATTAAAAACCCCATGTTGTTTCACCATCTCCACAAATTTGATGATTACTCTCCCTTTTTTATATGCTTTCGTACCCAAGTTAGGTGAAAGTGTGAAACCCTCCTCTTACTACTAATATATACAAAAACAAATGAATCATTGTGGCCAAATTAAGATAAAGTAAGGATATGTATCTATCTACAAAACTTTGATATACATAGAAGAGTTGTACATGATAAATGACATTGAATACACGATTCAGGCACATAATAGAAATCAATTACAAATAGTGCAAAATATCAAAAATTCGTGTCTAAAAATAGATAGAGTAAATACTTGTTAGATCTTTGATAAATGATAGTGACAACCCTCAATAATGTGTATTGAAACCTAAATAAAGTTGTGATCTTTACAAAAGCAAGAACCAACTCAAATTGAAATGTTCATATTCCCTCCAAACTACTCTATTATTACTTCTCAAAAATGGACAAATGGAGTTTAGTATATTTGCCATGTGAAACCACTGCATATGTTTTTCTCTAAATAATTCTCTATACTCTTTCCAAATAGAAGTATTATTCACTCTCTCTATTTTCTCTCTCCTCATCTCTAGTTCTCTACCACCTTTTTCACTCAAAATCCAACCACCAAAATCTACTTCATCAATTGGTCTAAAAAATACCCACTTAAACTATGCTAAAATTACCATGATTCCCTCAATAACCTCTGTTTTAATGGCCTTACCCTTCAAATTTTTCTGGGTTTTCTTCATCTTCTTCCTAATTTACACCCCAAATCTCTGTAAAACCCAGGAGCTTTACTTCAATGGATTCAACCATGTTGGTAACAACATAGCTCTAAATGGAGCTGCCAAGATTCTTAACACTGGCATCCTTCAATTAACCAATGATACATCTAGACTTCTTGGTCATGCTTTTTACCCACCTCCAATTAGGGTTAAATCTTCAAAAGATGGTGAAAAAGCTGTATCATTTTCAACAATCTTTGCTTTTGCATTGGTGCCCCAATTTCAAACACTTGGTGGGCATGGATTTGCCTTCACTTTAGCTCCTAGTAAAGAGCTTCCTGGTGCTTTACCCAGTCAATATCTGGGACTTCTAAACTCATCTGATAATGGGAACCTTACAAATCATATTTTTGCAGTTGAATTTGATGAAGTTCAAGATTTTGAGTTCAAGGATATCAATGATAATCATGTTGGTATTAACATTAATAGTATGATTTCTAATGCTTCTGCTACTGCAGCTTATTATGTTGATGGGAATTCAACTGCCCAGAATATTACTATGAAGAGTGGTGAAACAATCTTGTGTTGGATTGATTATGATTCTGGAAATCATCAACTAAATGTTAGTCTTTCTCTTTCCTCTGAAAAACCCAAAAGAAGCTTATTATCTTATGATGTAGACCTTTCTTCTTATTTAGATGAATTTATGTATGTTGGGTTTTCTGGGTCTACTGGTTTGCTTGCAAGTTCACATTATATATTGGGATGGAGTTTTAAGGTTAATGGTCAAGCAACCCCTCTTGATCTGTCTTCACTTCCTAAATTACCAAGGGTTAAAAAGACTAATTTTGGGTTGATTTTAGGGGCTTCAATAGGATCTGTGGTTGCATTTTTTGTTTTGATTGGATTAGCTGCTTATTTGGTATGGTTGTATAAGAATAGGGATATTATTGAGTCATGGGAGCTTGATGTTGGTCCTCATAGATTTCCATATCAAGAGCTTAGGAAAGCTACAAGGGGTTTTAAGGACAAGATGCTTCTTGGGTTTGGTGGGTTTGGGAGGGTTTACAAAGGTATTCTTCCGAATTCGAATACCGAAGTCGCAGTTAAGAGGATTTCCCATGACTCAAGGCAAGGATTGCCGGAGTTTGTTGCTGAGATTGCTAGTATAGGTAGGTTACGCCACCGGAATCTGGTGCAGTTGCTTGGATGGTGCCAGCGTAAAGGGGACTTGATTCTGGTATATGATTATATGCCAAATGGTAGTTTGGATAAGTACTTGTTTGCTGACCCTATAATGGTATTAAGCTGGGTTCAGAGGTTTAATATCATTAAAGGGGTTGCCTCTGGATTGTGCTATTTACATGAAGGGTGGGAGCAAACTGTGATACATAGAGATATCAAGGCAGGGAATGTGTTACTTGATGCTGACTTTAATGGTAGGCTAGGTGATTTCGGGTTAGCTAAGCTATATGAGCATGGGACTGATCCGAGCACTACCCGGGTTGTGGGAACTCTTGGGTATTTGGCACCCGAGCTTACACGAACTGGGAGGCCTACGACGAGCTCTGATGTGTTTGCTTTTGGTGCTTTGCTGTTGGAGATTGCTTGTGGGAGGAGGCCTATTGAGCCCAAGGCATTACCTGAGGAATTGTTCTTGGTTGATTGGGTGTGGGATAGATGGAGGGAGGGTGCTATTCTTGATGTAATGGACCCTAAGTTGGTAGGCGATTATAGTGAGTTGGAGGCAGCTATAGTTTTGAAGTTGGGCTTAATGTGTTCTGCTGAGTCGCCTGATTCTCGACCTTCAATGAGGCAGTTGGTGAGGTATTTGGATGGGGAGGCTGAATTGCCAGAAGAGATAATTCTACCTGGTGGATATAGCGGGAAGAGGCACAGCCACAGCAGCCGAAGAAATGGTACTGGAGAATTTGAGGATTATGTACATACATATCCTCCTGCTTCATATATGGATCTTGAAGGTGGTTCAGTTTCTTTGTTATCTTTGTCTGGTGGAGATGAAGCCCATGAAGGTAGATAGACTGGGAAATGTGAATTGTCTAACATGATTTATCATTACGTGGATTCATTATTGAGTTTTTGTTTAGGATTTTTGCGCTTGTGATTGAAGTGTAGAGTTACTGATTTTTGGCTGCATAATTAGGTATTAATATTTCGAATCTTCCTGTTGTATATATACATATATATAATTTTGTATATCTCTCAGCACTTTGAGCATGTAATCGAATGCTTTGATCTCTGATTACCTATGTAAGCTTCGTGGAATAGAAACTATTCATGTTCCTTCTATCCTTTATAATTTTTTTTTATGCTACCTCCGTTTATTAGTTGCAAGGATTTGCAACAGGTATTATTGACAATTTATACCCGTTTGTTGCAGCTAATATGAAAAAAGGTAGTAATTGTTATTAGTTCAAGCTAGAAGGATAGAAGATTTTGTTCCAATATACTCTCATATGGAAGAATATCATCAAATTTGACAATTCTGCATTCTATTCAGTAGTAGCAGCTAAAGATACAGTACATTTTGTCACTGATCTACATATTCACATTTCTAGAACTTGTATCTCGTCTGTACAGTCTAGGATTCTGCCTTACTCATCTAAAAGCCTAAATAAAAAGTTACAAGCAGCCTTGTGAGCCGGAAACTTGCTTAATCAACACAATGATTAAAACATTCAAGTGCTTCCGTTGGTGAAAAGGCGATAATTCAATGTTTCTCTAACAGAGGGGAGTATTCTCTGACCGCCAAAATTGTCCCTCTTGATAAACCTCTATGCTCAGTCACTTTAATAGCATACACTACCGCTTCATTCTCTAAATCAATGCCAGTTCTAGCTGAAAATCTTCTCTTGTGCACACATTTTCTCGATCACAGGGGAAAAAAAATACAAACATAACTCACGATCAGAAAGAGACTGAAATCAGGAGAAATGATGTCCAACTGAAGCTCATTACGAGTATGAATCTGACTTGCTGCTTACTGGCCTTCTATATTATCTGCTAGAGCATCTTCCTCATCCTTAGCTCCACCAAAAATCTCATAATCATCAAAACCTGCAAATCAAAAGGAAATTTATCAGAAAGCAGATAAATTAGAGCTCATCATGGACTGAGGCAGCTGCCAAAAGAGTCCAGCTTGTATCTGGAGAGATCGGGCCTAATGCCAAAATAGCCTTATTGCATTTTGGGTGACACAAATATCTGCCAGAATCAGGCCAGGCGAGTTTGATTAGCTCGAAGACAAACACATTACCACCGCTCAATTCTTCAACTTCGTCAGCTGAAGATTTCAAACGCATTTTGCTAGGAGAGGGCGGCTCAATTGACATCCAGTCAGAACTTCTATGGTCATCAAAGCACAAATCTTTTCGGGCTATCCAGTCAGCAACGCTAGCATGATTGTCCACTGATAGCGGGTCTGTATTGTCTTGTTCCTTGCTCTTTTGAGCCCTGTGAAACAAATTAGTTAAATTGAAGTTCTATACTTCTATTATCCTCAAAATTTATCATCAGACCAGTGTACTCACATTTGTCTCAGCCGTAGGTTATACTGAGTAAAGACCTGATCGGTGAGTCGTTGATGTTCTAGACGGTTAACAGTGCTGCGCATTTGCTCAAGTGGAATAAGATCCTTCTTACAATGTGTTAAACTGCAGCATTGACTTAGAATACGAACAGCTAAACGTGATAAATTTGGGCAGGCAACTCCATATGTAGACCACCATTCAGCTGTAAATATTACATATAAAAATGTTAATGGAGGATTGATTTCCAATCAAACAGGAAGCTAATTCAAGCACTTCAAACACACATCGATAGATAACCACAATTTAATACAATTCCCTGGAAAGAATGAAATGTCAGCAACCTGAAGGCCTGAACAACCTCAACTGACACATATAGGCAGGCAGAGAGGAAAGAAGCAGTAAATTTACCAAGTTACCAATATTCATATATTCCAAGTAGATAGCAAAATGAGTACTACGTTTTCAAAAAGCTTGCCAAACAGGGATATCAATATTACCAGGGTATCCTTTGAAGAATAATTTGACACCTAATACGAGTTTAAAGATTTTTGTCTTGCAGAAATACAATTATTGATAAAGTAGGGTAGAGTTGCCTCAACATTTTTCATCAACAACTAGCTTTCCTAACAATATCAGGAAGAAAAAAAATGCAACAGAACGAATGAATACAATCAAAATGTAAAAAAACAAATAACCTCAACATCTAAATACTTACAGGGTAGCAGGCTTTCTCTAGCTCTGATTGCCATCTTCCGCCCAAAATCCCCAGCAGCCATTTTGTAAGAGTTGAGCTCTTTGATGATTTTATCTTGAGTTTTGGTGTCAGGAACTAATCTCTCAATGCAATCAAACATTCCAGAGACAATTGTACCAGGCAAATCTCCGTCAATGCTGTAAAAGAACTTTGGATTGAGGTAGAAGCCTGCAGCATAAAGTGGTAATTGCTGATGCCGATCCCATCTCAGATCGATGACATTCCAATAAGTCAAATACTCATCCCTCTTTCTAAACTCTCTTTTCAAGGCTTCTTTGGCTCGGTATAGTCCTGCATACACATATCCCATAGCAGGTTTCTTTTCACTTCTAACAATGCTCAACACTTGCAAAATTGGATCAGTTAGGAGGACAACAAGGTCGCAGGATGACCAGAAAGAGTGATCACTTATGAGATCCAATATAGCCAATGCACCCTCCTTTTTAGAATAAAATGAATCTACCCACTCCTGTGATGTTACTAAAGCTTGCAAATTGTGTTTCAGGTCGACCATTTGCTTCACTGTTCTAAAATTGGTGACAGAAGGACTAAGATCAGGCACCACTAAATCCACGCCGAAAGTATACCTCCTCATCATATTCAAGACAACACTGTGATTATAGATAAACCTCATAATTGACTTACATTGCTCTAGTACAGTATTTATCCATTCAAATTTCCCAAAGTCCTCGAGCATTAATATTATCGAATTTACTGCACAGGGAGCCCAATATATAGTAGGATAAGTTTCAGAAAGCCTTTTCCCGATAGCAGCATAGCATTCATCATTGGGCGTAATCACTTGCATTACATTTTTTGGTTCAACTTCTTCTACCACTTCTCTGATCAAATCATACATTGCTTCAGCTGAATCCATTAGGTTGGTCACATCTGCTGATTTTAAGAACATTGTGCCTTCTGGACAGTACACCAGAAAGTTGACGACTGTCATTTCCTTTTCCTTCCCTATAATGCATTCCTCCACCAAAACAGAACAACCAGTGCGCCCCCATGCTCTCGCACAATAGTCCATATCTGCCTTCACGTCATTAACTGCACTCTTCAGAATCCAACCTCGAAGTTCTTGATGTGAGGGTCCCACAACTCCTGTGCCCTCCGAAGCAATAGCATCAAGCATAGGCTGAAAATAGACTGAATTTACAGCATCCAGAGGAACCCCTATATCATATAAGAAACGCCCTACAGCCAAGTGAACTTGAGAGTTAAGCTTCTTCAATGACCCCTGCATCTCATTCACAGCATGATTATCACTAACAGGAACCGGAGTACCATTACTAACCACGGAAATCAAAGCACTCTTTGGGGGCCTCCCCCGTTTTCTCTTCCCAGGCCCTCTAACACTCATCCCTTCCTCAGCCAACATCGATGAGCTAGACTCAAGGGCAATAGGATTTGCAATCAACTGAATCTCACCACCAGCACCGCAGTCATTAGCAAAACCATCAACATCATCATTATTAGAAGGCATACCAACACTAGCCTTAGTAAAAACATCAGAAATCTTTTTCTGCTTGTTTTTCTTAGCCACCGCACCTGATAGGCTTTGATGCATCGCTTCCCTAACATCGGATGGAACCCGATGGCAAGTGGATGCATTACCCTTATGACAAGCTAAGTGTTCTTTAATCCTATGAATTCCACCACCCTTAAATACTTTAAAACAGTATATACATTTCAAATGAACCCTATCCCCATCCTTATACATTTGACAATGCTTCCAAGCTGGGTCATGTTTTTGTGAACTGATGGGCACTGCCTCAAACCCAGAACTCATTTCTTGCAAATTATAGCCTTAAGCAACCAATTACATCAACGGGGTATACATCAAAATGCATATATAAATTAATACATGATACAATTAAATTCCAATTGGAAAAACAAAAGGGTATAGACAAATCATATAAGTGATGGATTAATTAATAAGGAGCACTAAGTATTAAGATTCATGAAATTCAATAAACAGGCAGAAAATGGGAAACAAAAAGTAATCAGTGTCCATGAAATTGCAACATAAAGCTGACTAATTTTATCAAAATCCGATATTAATTCATTAATCAAAAGTCATACGACACCTACAACAGAAATCGAAATCAATCAATCAATCAACATAAGCCACCCTATAGAACAAGCTATAAAAACATATACAGGGAAGGGACAAAAAAAAAGTAAAATACAGTGTGGCAAACAAAATTAAGCGGGTGATTAAAGAATATAAGAAGCAATTATCAATTAAAAAAAATTAATCCAACACTAAGTACAAAGAACCATTATAGAATCATCAAAATTAACATAAGTTAAAAATAATTAAAAATTAAAAATACAATTATAAACAATTAAAAAAAACTTACATGATAGTTTTAAAGCGAATCTGCTAGGAGAGAGAAAGAGAGAACCGGAAGAGGAGGAAAAAAGGGGGATCAAGGGTTTGGTTTATAAACCGTAGAAGATAAGAACCGGATGAACCGGTTAACTAAGTATACAAAACGCAGCGTTTTAGATATGATATAGAGAGGGTTTGATACCGGCTGATTCGGTTCTTTTGCATTGATTAACACAAGGTTTACCGAGTAAACCGGTTTTAGGCCAATTTAAAAAAATTAATAACCCGAAGTTTTTAATTAGGGTTTGGTTCGGGTGAAATATCTCAAAACGCCGGGTTTCAGCGGTTTGTTTGGGTTATGTAAACCGCTAATATTTTTCACTATAATTATTACTTTCTTAAGTTTCTTTCTCTTCTTGTTCTCTTTCTCCGATTACCGGCGGAGGAGCAGCGTTTTCCGGCGGAGAAGTGTTGATTCCGGCGGCGCAGCAATAAGGTAGTAGTAATTCACTGAGATCAGTAATTAATTCTTCTCTTTAATGATTCAAATTTGTAATTGCATAAAATTATGAAAAATGTGAACTTTACCTTGGATTAGTTTGATTAATTGATTAGTTATGTTGGTTTGGGTTCAAAAGTTATTGAATTTATTTATCAATATGAACTTGAATTGGTTAGTGTGGTGCAAGTATTTCAAGTTTGTGTACATTTTAGATTGTAATGTGATTGTTTATGACATTTTGAATGTTATAGTAAATGAATTTTTTCAATTGTTTGTTTTGAAATAATGTCGCCATGTTCGATTTTACCCCTAGTTAGAAATCCTGAATCCGCCACAGTTCGTAAATTTGTACAATGTGTGTTCATATAGAGTTTTTTCCTTGTGTGTTTGTAAATAGATGGCTTTAATTTGTTATCTTTTGGACAAAATGACAAATGCATCTTTCTCTTTGAGGCATAATACGCCGATTTAGCGCCTTTACTAGATAGATGGTGGATTATTGGTATTGAGTTGTGGTCTTTGATCTCTTGCAGGTAAGATCAATGAATAGAAATGAGGTTGTATGAATTCTTGTTTAAAGGAAATGAGGCACAATTTTGTAGCTTGTAAATTTGTACAGGACTTTTTTCATGTATGTAGTCCAAAGTATGTCATCAGAACCGGGCAAAGTGTACCACTGTATTTGAATGCAGCACTTCAGTATTGTTCAGTACCAGTGAGTGAAGAAAGCTTACCTCTTGGATGGTACGACGACGTGTTTCCGAGGCTGATTAAATTGTCCAAATTGCTGAAGAATGTGGATTTGGTTGATGGAAGGTTAGTGGATGTCAATGACAATTCAACTGTCAGAGATGAACGCCTTCTTAATAGGATGCTCCGATTTAAGGCGCTTGCCAGAGCTTTTCTTGGGCATCCATCAGTACAAGAAGAACTGATGAAGAATGTGAGGGTTGCAATGGCAGGTAGAAAATGCAGTCCACCTGTTTGTTTTACCAACCCAGTTGAGAGGGAGCCTTTGCTTGTGAATAACCTCACCAAAGTTTGCAACTATCTGGACGTCTCTGCGCAACAAAGGAAGACAGTCCGATTTACCATATGCCCACAGGTTGCACAGCACAGGATTTTTACGGGTGCACTTGAAGAAATTTTGGAGGGACTGAAAAGAGAGATGATGTTTTTGGATTCTGAGACACCTAGCAAGGCCACATTTATGGGTCAGCAAATTGTTACTACTTGTTTAAATTTCTTAGCTGAAACAGCTTGTCGCCAAGATGAGGATGCTTCTTCATGGATGAGGCCGAAGCCATATAAATCAGCTGTATCTCCATCATCACGGAAGTGGGAAGAGGTCCTTGAAATGTTCAATGACCTCATTGATAATTTAAGAAGAGAGGAAGGATTATCATTCCATGTGTCAAAGCTCAAGGTGATGAAAGAAGGGCTAATTCAGATTAAAGATGTGTTAGTTGATAGAGATATCGGGTTCAAGGAAGTGCAACATCATGAAAGCTTAGTTCATAAGAAACTTTTGAAGACATTGGGTCACTCGTCACAATGTTTGTTTACACTTGTAAGATACTATCTTCATGAGAGTGTACGAGACATGGAGGTAGAGGTGTCTGGCGGGTTATATGAGATTGGTGAGAAGGATAGGTTATGCTTGTGCATGGGGAAATTGTTGACATCATCGGAAGAGAGAATGGTTTGGAGCGGGATAAAGCAATTGGATCGAGCTCTTGGATTGTTTAAGTTTGTATGGGAAACTGCTGGGATGAACAAAACGCTAGAGTTGCAGGGACATTTGTGGTGCGTTGGGGCTGAGCCAAGGACAATTACTTATAGAGGGAATTTGTTCATCCTCCATGGACTTAGTATATAAATTAGAGGTTTGATCATAGTGTTAAACTTTTTCTTTTTTGACATATAATAGTGTTAAACTGTTAATGCAAATATGCAATAGCCTAGCCTGCTTTTATGGTGTTTTCTTATATGTTAATTCTTGTGCGAGATAGATGTAAAAAATGGTAACTTTTTCAAGGTCATAGGGGCGTTCTTTATAACTAACAATGACTTTTCTTATGAAATAAAATGACATTTTTCATCTTATGAAATGAGATCATCTTACAGTAGAATTTGTCTTGCTTGATTGTAAGATTTTGTAATTATGTTTAGATTTTGACCAATTAAAAAAGTACAAAGTACATAGTACTGCATAATTTCCTACTTTTTGCAAATTTGCAGTATATTGATAATTTATGTTGATGAAGAACTTTTAAATATGCTTAATTTTGAGATATAAACATGAAAAAAAAAATTAAAAATAAGAGTGGATCGGAAGAAATAATCAAAGTAATGGGGAAGTTAATGAAATAAACCGTTGCCCACTCTTCCACTAACCGTTTTACCCTCCTTTTTATATAGTCTCTCTTTGTTTCACCAAATTTTACATTCCAAATCTAAACATCACCAAGAGTAAAAAAAAAAAAAATGGCATTTCCGATTCATTTCTTAATTCTGTCTCTCCTCTTCTCTTTTACAGGTTATTCTCTTCCATTATATTTTGCTGATAGTAATTTTTAATTTTCCTTTACTAATAATGTAGTGCTTGATTTTTGGCAGATGCCGTTCAACTAATAATAATGAATAACTGCAACACCACCATATGGCCGGGAATACTAGCAACCGGCGGTCAGAATACACCTCTAGGAGGCGGGTTTTGCTTGCATTCAGGCCGACGACAGTTCCTTCGAGTCTCTCATAACTGGTCAGGCAGAGTATGGGCAAGGCAAGGTTGTGATTTTGATAGACATACAGGCATTGGCGCTTGTCAAACTGGTGACTGCAATGGCCTACTACAATGCAAGGGCATTGGCGGTAAACCCCCTGCCACCGTGGTAGAAATGACCTTCGGTACCCCTGCTTCCCCGCTTCATTTTTATGATGTTAGCACCGTTGATGGGTTCAATCTCCCTGTCTCTATGGTTCCCCTTGTCAGGAGGGAGATGATGGGAGGTTGTGGGGTCGCTGCGTGTGAGGTGAACTTGAACATGTATTGTCCTGCTGCATTGGTGGTTAAGACACAAGAGAAGGTTGTGGGGTGTAAGAGTCCTTGTTTAGCGACTGGTTTTCCTAGGTTTTGCTGCACAGGAGATTTTTCTAGGGCGGAGAAGTGTCAGCCAACGGTGTTTGGGAGGTTGTTTAAGACGGTTTGCCCCAGGTCTTACAGTCATCCCTTTGATGAGAAAACTGGGCTTAAGACTTGCAAGGCTCCTAGGTATGTGATTACCTTTTGTCCTCCTACTTGAATTTATGCAGCAGAGGGCTTAAAACATTCTACTATTTCGTCTATTTGTTGTGGGATTTTTTTTATATTGGTCTGTATTTCTATGTCCATTTCAAATTGAAGACCGGAACATAGTACCATAGGGGTTATTTGATGAATTACTATTTCATTGTTATAAGATTTGTGTTACTTGTTCACCATTAGTCTTTCACTATCTGTTCTGCATTTAGGTCAAAGTTTTCTAACAATACTAGTACAATTTATACAATGAAAAGAATATAAACAATTGAAGATGGCAAGTGTGGATGTAGAAACAATGCATTTAAATAAAGATGAAGTACAAACACAACATCTCTGCCGAGGGGTGGAAACCTGCTAAAGTGTTAAATCTCTGGCATTACATAATGTATGTAGTCTGAACATAAGAAAACTCTGACCTGAGAGGTAATATTTCCATTTTTAGCAGAAGCATATCACCAAATGGTATACGACCCGTCTTCCCTAAAGTGAGCACTTCAAGTAGTCTCCTCATGTATTTTACCACACTCATACAGCCTCTCCATCCACTATAGTTGTATTCAAGAGATAAAGACATATAATTATCAGACAAAATTTGATCACGAGTCGTTACTATTGCCTTAAAAACAATTCTGGTGAGAAACCAACCACTATCAGTAAAGCTCTAACAGCACAATATTAAAAGGTAGAAGGTTAGAGTAAAACACAGCTGTGAAAAAATAAAAACTAGTCCACAAATGTCAGATATCAATCCTTATTTGCCAATTTCTAGCAGAGATATGAACTTCTCAAGAATTGTAAATGATAGATTAGTGACACTGCACAAAACTAGCCATGCTTATTTGCTACACAGTGCACAAAACTAGTATATGGTTTCATTCTTCATTCACACAAGAATGCAACTGATGATACAACACATCATGATCTACATGTTTATTGCTCTAATAGTTTAGTGTTTCAGAAATTCAGAGGAAGATGATTCAGCTGCACAGAAAATTAAAATTAAAAACAACAAAAACAACTAATTGAGCACACACTTTTTAAACTCCACCAATAAATGAGCTCGAATGAACAAGTAACAGAAATTATCAATATCACAACTATGCACAATATGATCTCCATGTGAAGAGTTCAAGCAATTGTTTGGTAGATTATGATCAACGAAGTACATGTACAAGCACAATTTTGGTGGCTCAACTAAAGCACCCTTGCTTTTGAAACAACAGTATAGATGAGCCAGCATTACAGATTAACCATTGAAAAAAAAACATACTGAACTGGACTCACATAACTAACCGTGTGAAAATTTTTATTAAAATATAAAGAGTGATACATATGTGGCAATTTTGACTCCAAATACTTACTGGACAGCTAGTGATTATGGGAAAGGATTCAAAGCAAATACTACAAATTAGTTCATCAACCCATCATCAATCACACTATACTTTTTATCAAAATTGAACAAAACAATCAACCTCGCTGCCTATTCCAGAACATGTTGTAGGCACCAGATTCCAGCCCACAGTATCCAGGAGTAGCAGAACTGGCCACAGGCAACCCCAAATGTCCGAATCCATACGAGCCCGGAGGCGGCCCCACCATCGGCATCGGCATTGGCATTGGCATTGGCATCAAAGGCAGTGAACTGCATTGTTGTGGCTGCTGCTGTAAAGGCTGTGACTGTGGTGGCATTGACATGGACCCGAACCCGTCGCAATCGAACATGGCCGAGTCCCGTCTAGGAGTTGAATGACCATCACTTGAGTGCCCTTCCATTCTCTTCAAATACAGCCTGTACTTCTGCAAGTGACTAGCAACATTTTCTCTAGTTAACCCTTCTACATTCATCATCTCCATAATAGTCTTAGGAACAGCCTTGTCAATTCCCAGATGCTCAATTACATCAACAAACCTCTTATGAAGCTGAGGAGTCCAAACTAATCTGGGTCGTTTGACGGCCCGATTAAGCCCGTTTTCATCACCATTATCATCTTTGGACCCAGAATTCACCTCATCAGTCATAAAACAATCACCCCTTTTCATTCTATTAGAACACTCAAAATCATTTCTGCCAGAAAACAACCTCAAACTCAAAGATTCAATATTTTCTTCACTTGGGCAAAACGTCGAACAGTTGTCGTGCATCGCCCGATTTAGATCAAATTGAGCTCGAGTGTTATCTGGGGTTATCCCAAATGCTAAAGCAAGTTCTGGGGAGATCAAAGATTGTGATAATGGTGTTAGATCTTCAAATGATGGCAAACCCATTTCCCAATGATCTTCCATTTTCTCTCTCTCCTCAAATTCCACCCCTTTTACTGTGTTTCAACAATCAAAATCAACAAAGGGGTGAAACAAAGAAGAAAGATTCAAACTTTCAATTCAAAATCACTAGATTTCTTAAACATTCATCAAATTCAAAACCCAGAAATAAATTTGATAGAATGTTTAAGAAAGAAGAAGAAGAAGAAGAGAGTATAAAGTGAAATGAAAAGAACAAGAAGAGAAAGTTGCTTACTTGAGAATTGTTTGATTTTGTTGGCAAAATTTAATTAAATTTTGGGGGAAAATTTTGAGGAGAGAGAAAATTGAGAGAAGAGGTCGTAATCTATGGATAGGGACCTCACGTGGAAGAATGCTACCTTAAATTTTTTTCTGTCAGATTAAAAATGAATAAAAATTTATACTCGTACAATTATTATTTTTCACCATTTTCATTTTCATTTTTTTTTTGTTTTTACGTTAGTTGATATTTTTCTCAATTATTTCCTTTTTTGGTAATACTTGATCAATCATGTTATTGTCGGTACTTTATTAAGTGGAGCATGATTTGCGCAATCAACTTGATAATGGGGAACGAGTATTTAGTTTGACATTTATCATTGGTAGTTATACATTTACACTAGAGTAGTCTTGTTGCTTTGATATAATAGAAATTTGGAAATAGAAATTTGGAAAAATGTTCACCCCCGATCATTTAATGGGGAGTAAAATGGGAAATTGGAAAAATGTTACTACTCTGGAGTCTGGAATATAAATTAACTTTCACTCATACTCACAATAGTAAGAAATCTTATATATAATTATAGAGTCAATTCACCACAACCCTTCAAATCACCAATACTCAAATCTCATGCATTTGAGTTTTTTTCTTTTTTAAAAATTTTACTTTTTTACAAACCAATAACTACCCAAGTACCCATCCCACTATATTATTTTTTTTTTTTTAACTTAAGATAATAATTACTCATCCCACTGCACTTTTTTTTAAGTATTTTTTCAAGAAATTGCAATAATTAATAAAAATTCACTTTTTTTAAACAGTACTAACATTTCACTTTTTTATATTTTCTTTCGCGTATAATACATGTCGTGCATTAGCACAGATATGCACAAGTCCTTTATCAACAACATAGCACTCTAAATTCCCAGGCCTTCGATTATATGCATATTTTTTTGGGGACTATCCTACAAACTATTTCCACTCCGCTAATCATCAAAAAAAAAAAGTACAACACGCTATTTGCTCGACTGGTCTCACCGAATAGCTACTTGCAAAGGAGCAAAAATAGACCTATGACACTAACTATGTAACCCCTATAACACATAATATGTAACCTCTATAGATTTAACACACCTACACTTTCATAGTCATCAAAACAAAAAATATTAAGCAGCACGCTATTTGCGCGACTAGCCTCACTGAATAGCTACTTGCAGGATAAAAAAAAATAGACAGTATGATACTAACTAAGTAACCCCTATAACACATAACGGGTAACCTCTATAGATTTAACAAAGTAGCACCTACATATAAGAGCCAGCCCTGTTTTTTTTAGTTTCTGAGCAAAGCAGAGAATATTAGATTTCAATAGAGCAGAACATGTGTCGGCAGATTACTTATACATATATACTTAATAGAGCAGATTTGAACAGAGCATTATAAAGCAGATCAGACCACAACAACTCTAAAAAAACATGGCTTAAGTTACTACATCAAATCAACTTTCCTATTTGAAATACAGTATATTTTTTCTTATATTATATATTTGATTGCTTCTAATATAAAATATATCTCGTGCATATTGCACAGGAACACTCTAGTATAAAATATATTTTTTCTTATATTATATATTTGATTGATTTGGGTAAACAGGTCGGGTTTGGGTCGGGTAAGAGTGAGTCGGGTCAACTCGGGTCGGGTCAATTCATATAAATTCCATAACCTATGTGGGTCGGGTTTGGGTTGAGTCATGCATGAGTCGGGTCACGCCGGGTCATACTTCTTATTGGGTTTGGGTCGGGTTACACTCGAGTAGGGTGAACAATAAGTCGGGTTTAATTCGGGTTTTCACGGGTTAAAACGGGTTAGGGTAATTATCGGGTTCGGTTCAAGTCAATAATTTGCGGGTTAGAATCAGGTTGGGTCATTCTCGGATTTGAGTCGGGTTCGGTTCAAGTCAATAATTTGCGGATTATAATCAGGTCACGTCATTTTCAAGTCTGGTAATTCTCGGGTTCAAGTCAATAATTTGAGGGTTATAATTAGGTTGGGTCATTTTTGAGTTAGGTCATTCTCGGATTCAAGTCGGGTTATGTTCAAGTCAATAAAATTTGCAGGTTACAATCATGTCAGGTTCAACTAATTGTAAATAGATAATTATCATTTTTATCAAGCTAATTATTTCCTTTGACTATAATATAAATGGCAATATATTAGGGAACTATAGTCTATAATTTAGGAAGATAATTATCTCCTTTGACCATATAACAAATATATACTATATTTAACTCTTAAATTTGAGGATGATGCTCCTTTCTTTTGCTGGCCTGAACCGACTTGGGCTCCCAAGACAAAACGCTTTAATCAACAATAATAAGGTGGTCTAAATTGAATTTAAGGTGATTTAAAATTGGGTCAGGAAAAATTCGGGTTGAATTCAGGTCAGGTCAATAACAAATCGTGTTGATTTCGAGTCGGGTTAGTAACAGATTAGGTTGAATTTTTGAGTTGGGTAAGTAATAGGTACGGTAAAATTCGGGTCGAGTAAATAACAATTTGGGTTGAATTTGGGTCAGGTCAATAACAAGTCGAGTTGATTTCGGATAGGATTTGTAACAGGTTGGGTTTAATTCGGGTCGGGTTAAGAACGGGTTGGTTAAATTCAGGTCAGGTTCGTAAAAAGTCATGTTAAATTCGGGTTTAGACAGGTTAATACGGGTTAGGATCAATTTCGTTAAAATTCAGGTTCGGTGCAAGTTAATTATATTGGTCGTTGTAAACCGGTAAATCGGTGCAAGTTGTAAACCGGTAAATTGACCGTTTAAAAGCAAATTGAATGGTTCCAAATACCCAATTGGACTCCCGGAAGGTATTAGGATCTATGGTAAAATTTTCGGCAATTTTTATTGGTGGGCGAAAAAAAGTCAAAAAAATTCCAAAATTGAAGGCTAATATCCACGCTTTTTGAGAAATTTTGGAGGTTTCGAGGCCCGGTGTCGAAAAATTCTTGAAATTCTATGGGATACATCTCAGGGTCATATAATGTCGTTTGGAACCATATATGCTCATTATATGTTGTCATAAATGTTCGTAGTAGAGTTGAGTTAATGAAATACGTGCAAGTTGTAAACCGGTAATTAAATTGGCCGTTTTAAGGCAAATAGGATGGTTCCTCCAACCTACTTGGACTCTTGGAGGGTATTAGGGACCATGAAAAAAAAAATCGGCAATTTTTATTTTCGGGCTAAAAAAAAGTCAAAAAATTCCAAAATTGAAGTCTAATATCCACACTTTTTGAGAAATTTTAGAGGTTTTAGGACCCGGTGTAAGAGTCTTGAAATTCTATGGGATACATCTCGGGGTCATATAATGCCGTTTGGAACCAAATATGATCATTATATATTGTCCTAAATGTTTTTGGTAGGCTTGATTTAATGAAATCGGTGCAAGTTGTAAACTGGTAAATTGGTCGTTTAAAGAAAAATTAGATGGATACACCCACCCAATGGACTCCCGGAGGGTATTAAGGATCATGGTAAAAATTTAGGCTATTTTTATTTCCAGTAGAAAACAAAGTCAAAAATTCCAAAATTGAAGGTTTATATCCACGCTTTTTGAGAAATTTTTGAGGCTTCTAGGTACGGTGTCGAACAGTCTTGAAATTTTAGGGAATACATTTCGGAGTCATAAAATGTTGTTTGGAACCATATATGATCATTATTTGTTGTTATAAATATACGTGGTAGAATTGAGTTAATAAATCAGTGCAAGTTGTATACCTTGAAATTAGGGACCATTTTAAACATAACGACAATTTTTATTTTCGGACGAATAAAAGTCAAAAAATTCCAAAATTGAAGCGTATTATCCACGTATTTTGCAAAATTTTGGAGGTTTTAGGCTCGATGTCGAAAAGTATTAAAATTGTAGGGAATACATCTCAGGGTCATATAATGTCATTTGGAACCATATATGATCATTATATGTTGTCATAAATGTTCATGTTAGGCTTGAGTTAATGAAATCAGCGCAAGTTGTACACCGGTAAATTAGTCCTTTAAAGGCAAATTGGATAGTTCCACCCACCCAATTGGATGGAAGCCCAGAGGATATTAGGGACCATGGTAAATATTTCGGAAATTTTTTATTTGCGGGTGAAAATAATTAAAAAAATTTCCAAAATTGAATAATATCTATCCACGCTTTTTAAGTAATATTTGAGGTTTCGAGGCCCGGTGTCGAAAAGCCTTAAGAATTCGCGGATACATTTCTGGGTCATATAATGCCGTTTGGAACCGTATATAATCATTATATGTTGTTATAAATGTTCGTGGTAGGCTTGAGTTCATGAAATCGGTGCAAGTTGAAAACTGGTAAATTGGTCGTTTAAAGGCAAATTGGATGGTTCCACTTATCCTATTGGCCTCCTGAAGGGTATTTGGGACCATGGTAAACATTTTAGCAATTTTTTTTCGGACGAAAAAAAGTAAAAAAATTCAAAAATTAAAGGGTCTAAAGATACTTGCTTGTTGAGAAATTTTAGAGATTTTGAGGTCCGGTACCAAAAAGCCTTGAAATTTTAGGATTACGTCTCGGGTTCATATAATGCCGTTTGGAACCATGATCATTATATGTTTTCCTAAATGTTCGTGGTAAGGTTGAGTTAATAAAATCGGTGCAAATTGTAAACTGGTAAATAGGCTGTTTAAAGGCAATTGAATGGTTCCACCCACACAATTGGACTCCCAGAGGGTATTCGGGACCATGGTTAACATTTCGGCAATTTTTATTTACAGGCGAAAAAAAGTCAGTAAATTGAAAATTTGAAGGCTAATATCTCACTTTTTTGAGAAATTTTGGAGTTTTCGGAGCCTGGTTTCTAAAAGTTAGGAAATTCTAAAGAATACATCTCAGGGTCATATAATGTCGTTTTGAAGCATATGTGATCATTATATTATTTGTTGTCATAAATGTTCGTTGTAGGCTTGAGTTAATGAAATCGGTGCAAGTTGTAAACCGGTAAATTTGTCGTTTAAAGGCAAATTGGATGGTTCCACCCACCCAATTGGACCACCAAAGGGTATTTGGTACCATGGTAAAAATTTTCGCAAATTTTATTTTCGGGCGAAAAAAATTCAAAAAATTCCTAAATTAAAGGCTAATATCCACGCTTTTGAGAAATTTCGAAGGTTTCGGAGCTAGGTGTCGAAAAGAAATGAGATTTATTAGACACATCTCGGGGTCATATAATGATGTTTGAAACCATAAATCACCATTATATGTTGTCATAAATGTTCGTTGTATGCTTGAGTTAATGAAATAAATGCAAGTTGTAAATCGGTAAATTAGTCGTTTAATTGCAAGTTGGATTGTTCCACCCACCTAATTGAACTACCGGAGGGCATTAGGAACCATGAAAAACATTTCGGCAATTTTTATTTTTGGGCGAAAAAAAAAGTAAAAAAATTCCAAAAGGCTAATATCCATGCTATTTGAGAAATTTTTGGGGTTTCGGTGCTCGGTGTCGAAAAACTTTGAAATTTTAGGGGATACATATATGGGTAATTTAATAATGTTTAAAACCATAAATAATCATTATATGTTGTCATCAATGTTCATGGTAGACTTGAGTTAATGAAATAGGTGCAAGTTGTAAATCATTAAATTCACCATATAAAGACAAATAGGATGGTTCCACCAGTTTAATTGGAATCCCGAAAATTATTAGAGACCATGGTAAACATTACGACAATTTTTATTTATAGGCTAAAAAAAATCAAAAAACTTCAAAATTTAAGGCTAATATCCACGCTTTTTGAGAAATTTTGGAGGTTTCGAGGCCCAGTGTCGAAAATACTTGAGATTTTGAGGGATAAATCTAGGGGTAAAATAATGTCGTTTAGAACCATATATGATCATTATATGTTGTCATAAATGTTCGTGTTGGGCTTGAGTTAATGAAATATGTGCAAGTTGTAAACCGGTAAATTAGTTGTTTAAAGGCAAATTGGATGGTTCCACCCACCCAATTGGACTCTTGGAGGATATTAGGGATCATAAACATTTCGGCAATTTTTATTTACGAGCGAAAAAAATTTAAAAAAAATCCCAAATTAAGACTAATACCCACGCTATTTGCGAAATTTTGAAGGTTTCGGGACTTTGAGTAGAAAGGTCTTTAAATTACAGGCAATACATCTTGGTCTCATATAATGCCGTTTTAACCATATATGATTATTAAATGTTGTCATATATGTTCGTGGAAGGCTTGAGTTAATGATATCGGTGCAAGTTGTAAATCAGTAAATTTGTTGTTTAAAGGCAAATTGGATGGTTCCGCCAACCCAATGTGACTCCCGGAGGGTATTAGAGACCATGGTAAGTTATTCGTCAATTTAATTTTTCGGGTGAAAAAAGTAAAAAAAAAAAAAAAAAAAAAAAAAAAAATCCAAAATTGAAGGCTAATATCCACGCCTTTTGAGAAATTTTGGAGATTTCGGGGCCCGTTGTCGAAAAGCTTTAAAATTTTAGGGGATACATCTCGGGGTCATATAATGCCTTTTGGAACTATATATGATCATTATAAGTTGTCATAAATGTTCGTGGTTGGCTTGAATTAATGAAATCAGTGTAAGTTTTAAACCGGTAAATAGGTCGTTTAAAGGTAAATTGGGTGGTTTCACCTACCAATTAGACTCCGGGAGGGTAAAATGGACCCATGGTAAACATTTCAACAATTTTTATTTTGAAGCGAACAAAAATAAAAAAATTCAAAAATTGAAGGCAACTATCCACGCTTTTTGAGAAATTTGGAGTCTGTCTAAAAGTCTTGAAATTCTAGGGAATACATCTCGGGGACATATAATGTCGTTTGGAACCATATATGATAATTATTTGTTGTCATAAATGTTCGTGGTAGGCTTGAGTTGATGAAATCGGTGCAAGTTGTAAACCGGTCAATTGGTCGTTTAAAGGAAAAATGGATGGTTCCACCCACCCAATTGGACTCCCGTGGTGTATTAGGGACCATGGTAAACATTTCGGTAATTATTATTTCCGTGTGAAAAAAAGTCAAAAAAATCCAAAATTGAAGGCTAATTAATATACATGCTTTTTTAGAAGTTTCGAAGATTTCATGGGTCGATGTCGTAAAGAAATGAGATTTTAGGGGATATATATTGGGGTCATATTATGCCGTTTGGAACCATAAATGATTATTATATGTTTTCATAAATGTTCGTGGTAGGCTTGAATTAATGAAATCGGTGCAAGTTGTAAACCGGTAAATTGGTCGTTTAAAGGCAAATTGGATGGTTTCACCCACCCAATAGAACTCTCGGAGGGTATTTGGGACTATGTTAAACATTTCAACAATTTTTATTTTCAGGCAAAAAAAAAGTCAAAAAATTCCAAAATAAAAAGCTAATATCCACGTTTTTTGAGAAATTTTTGAGATCTATGGGCCAGGTGTCGAAAAGGCTTGAGATTTTAAGAGATATATCTCGAGGTCATATAATGTCGTTTAGAACCATAAATGATCATTATACGTTTTCATAAATATTCTTGGTAGGCTTGAATTAATGAAATCGGTGCAAGTTGTAAATCGGTAGATTATTAGTCGTTTAAAGGAAAATTGGATGGTTCCACTCACCCAATTGGACTCCCAGAGGGTATTAGGGACCATGGGAAAAAAATTTGGCAGTTTTATTTCCGGGCAAAAAAAAGTAAAACAATTCCAAAATTAAAAGCTAATATATATGGTTTTTGAGAAATTTTGAAGGTTTCGGGGGCCCAGTGTCGAAAAGGCTTGAGATTTTTGGGGATACATCTCGGAGTCATATAATGCCTTTTGGAACCATATATGATCATTATATGTTGTCGTAAATGTTCGTGATAGACTTGAATTAATGAAATCGGTGCAAGTTGTAAATCGGTAAATTGGTCGTTTAAAGGCAAATTGGATGGTTCCACTCAACCAATTGGACTCCCAGAGGGTATTAGGGACCATAGTAAATATTTCGGCAATTTTCATTTCCGGGCAAAAAAAAGTAAAAAAATTCCAAAATTGAAGGCTATTATTATCCACACTTTTTGAGAAATTTTGAGGTTTCATGACCTGGTGTTGAAAAGTCTTGAAATTACAGGGGATACATCTAGGAGTCATATAATGCCGTTTGGAACCATATATGGTCATTATTTGTTGTCATAATTGTTCATAGTAGGCTTGAGTTAATTAAATTGATGCAAGTTGTAAACCAATAATTTGGTCGTTTAAAGGAAAATTGGATGGTTCTAACCACCCAATTGGATTCCCGGAGGATATTAGAGACCATGGTAAACATATCGGCAATTTTTATTTATGGGCGAAAATAAGTTAAAAAATTCAAAAATTGAAGGTTATATCCACGCTTTTTGAGAATTTTTCAAATTTTCGGGGCCCGGTGTTGAAAAGTTTTGAAATTCTAGGGAATACATCTCGGGGTCATAGAATCTTGTTTAAAACCATATATGATCTTTATTTGAAGTCATAAATGTCCGTGGTAGACTTGAATTAATTAAATTGGTGTAAGTTGTAAACCAATAAATTGGTCGTTTAAAGACAAATTGGATGGTTCCACTCAGGCAATTTGACTCCCAGAGGATATTTGGGACTATGGTAAACATTTCGTCAATTTTATATCCGGACGAAAAAATGTCAAAAAATTCTAAAATTGAACGCTAATATCCATGATTTTTGAGAAATTTCGAATGTTTCGGGACCTGGTGTCGAAAAGCATCGATATTTTAGGAGATACGTCTCGGGGGTCATATGATGCCGTTTGGATCCATATATGATGATTATATGTTCTCATAAATGTTCGTGGTAAGCTTGATTTAATGTAATCGGTGCAAGTTGTAAATCGATAAATTGGTCGTTTAAAGGCAAATTGGATGGTTCCACCCAGCTAATTGGACTGTCGGAGGGTATTAGGGACGATGGTAAACATTTCGGCAATTTTTATTTCCGGGTGAAAAAAGTCAAAAAATTTCAAAATTAAAAGCTAATATCCATGCTTTTTTAGAAATTTTGGAGGTTTCGGCTTGTACTGCATATACTCTAGTGTTGTGTGTTTTAAATTAAATTTCGGTAAATACATGACATATCACGAATCTTTTAATTGTTTCAAGTTTGTTTCATTATTGTTGGGACTCCTTATGAGAGTGAACTTAATCCATATAGTAATCTTCCGTTCCAATATCATGATTATTTAAGAAATTAATATGGAATATGTCATAAAAAATTATTTCCAAAACCAAATAAATTCAAAAATTAACAGATTACTATAAATCAACAGATTAGGTTGTCCACCATTACCAACAATTTAAAGTACAATTTCGTTGTAGCCATTGAACTTGTCATCTGAAATTTTGTGTAAATCACAACTTTTTTGTGCAAGTGAGGCTCAACATGAAGTATAGAACTATAGACTATACACTGTAGACAGTATAGTATGCCTTTTTCATTAAGAAGTTCCGTTAAGCACAAGATTCTATGCAAGTTTTTGGCAAAGACATGGCTTTCACATCAATCAACTATAGGACATGCATGATTTCACCTGTCCAAAAAAGTTTAGTGTAGTAGTAGGACCATTTTGATTTACTAAATTGAGCTGAATTGATTGGAGTTAAAGTTAACCGAACTGAGAAGGAAATTAGGAACTGAACTGATAGGAGCCGAGTTGAACTTAATTAAAATTAAGCTGAACAACACAGGCCCGTAGTATTCATTATTAGTGTTTGACATACTCATAAAACTCCTTAATGAGCCAACAGTAGTCAAGACTTATTTATTGGGACTATTTGCTATCACCACTACTTATTTGGCTATCTACCAAGTTATGTCATAATTAACTGGACTCTAATTCTAATATTGAAAATCTGAAATGATTTTATTTGACTTTGACAAAAAAATAAACGTACCAACCAGCTTTAAAAGATGAAGAGACTGAGTGAGAGACCCAAAGCATGAAGTTTGTCAGGGGGAATGTAACAAAAAAGCCTCACTTAAATGAACAAATTGAATGACAAACAAAAGAAAACAGGAAAGCTCAATCATATGAGAAAATTGTTCTTTCAAAGAAGGAATTATCCATCTGATACACCAAAAGGAAAACTTATAGCCTCAACTCTAACACAAAGGCTCTCTTTCTGCAGCTAGCAACATTCTGTACAGTCACAAGTCACAAATTTACCACCTCCACGACCACTAGCTTTCTCTATACACCCTCGAAACTTGTACAGTAAATTTTACTCTCTCGGCAAGGGGGGAGGGGCATCAGGTATCTTGTACCATTTGAGCCTCAACCTAACCTGTTTTTCTAGGTATATATCCTCAGGAAACAAAAAACGCTACAATTTACAGGTTTACAAGTACAACCAGCTTTTATTTTTCATTCAGCTCTCAGTCCAACCTAAATAAATAGACAGGAGCTACCGGCAGGCATAAAACAAAACAAAGGGTAGAGAGCCACGTTCAAACTAGCCTCGGTTAGCTGTACAGCACCTTTCTCTTCTATGCCATCGGAGCAGGGTAGGGAGTCTGCAAACTGATTCTCCTCTCTGCAAAAAACACATACAAAAAAATAAGAATCCAAAGTAAGTCATGAAAATTACGTAGTAGTTCACCTTACATCCGCAAAAGAGTCATGTACGGGTATGGGACTATGGGATAATAATTTCAAATACACACTTGATTCGCATGATACTTAGATCAATCATAAAAAATTTACCACATTATAAATAAAAAGGGTTTTACTACTCCAAGGAATTACAAAGCAAAAGCTATTATGATGCCACTAACAATTAAGCTTACACATCATAAATATAAAGTAAATGTATTTACCTCCAGCTGCAACAAGTTTCTCAACACGAGCAACAATATGCTTTCCATATGTATACTTCTTCAGTGCATTCAGATGATTCTTTATTCGTGAGAGGATCACTTCAAGTTGCTGGTCATCACAAGTTTCCAGCACTTTCTGTACAACATAGTTTGCAAACTGATCCTTCATCATCACCTAAACAACAGAAAAAGAAATTCGCATAAAAACCATGTCTTGACTACCCTCTCTAGAAGACTGGTGAATGTAATGCTCAAACCAAGAGAAAAAGGTAAAAGAAAGATACATAGTTTCAAATAACCATTACAAATCAACAAGGAAATTATACATTTTGACACATAAAAGGATATAAACAAAGTAACTACTTGGCACATATCAATTCACAATCCTGAACAGATTCTGACTGAGACTGGAGTTAACAAGTTCTGCACGATACATGATTCAAAAAATAGGTTGTGCCAACTGGTATGCCACAATGCAATTATCTATTAAAAAAACGGTCCCATAAATGCAGCAAAGTATTACAAAATCAATATATGATGCTGTAAGTGGCAAAATCTCATGCAAACAGCTGGATGGTCTGACATCCAAAAATGCGAAACATGTCAATTGAGATAAAACAAAATTCTCAAGCTCTCCACCCTTTAGCTGTTCTCCATTGCCCCAAACCCTCGTGAAGGAGAGCTTTATCCGACAACATTTTCCTTCTCATGCACAACTTTTGGTAAAGAGCAATAAAGCTTTCCCTATGATCCTCCCCCACTCCTTCTTGAAAAAGGAAAAAATGAAAGAACCTCAAACTCACCCACTCTATTCTCTGCCTGTCTCGACTCAATCTGTATACATAGTTATGAAACTACACAGGCAATAGCACCTGCAACCTATTTCCCAACCTTATGAATTTTGTAATAATAAACAAAGATGTTTTCACCAATTTAGGCAAGATCAGATTCAGCATCAAGTCAGCTACACGTAGATCATTTTATCATTGCTTCCCTATTAAACCGGGGGACAAGATCAAAAATCCACCCAGGGGTTCAGGCAAGGTACCATCTGCATGCCTTTACATTCAATCTCAGCTCTTTGTTTTAAAGGCATTTATTGCTTGTTCTATCAAATAATTATTGTCATACCAATTTTTATGATCCAGGGGAATTCTCTGATGACTGCACATTAAACACTAGCTAAATAAAAACATAGAACACTCCCAGTGATATTGCTATATACTGTCTAGAATTTCTAGATAAAAGTCATGCCAATTATCAAAAGACTAACAAGATTGTAGGGTAGGGTGGGTGATATCGCTCAGATTGCGGACAATCCTGGAGAAGGGTGGTAGTTTAGTGAGCAAGAATACACGGCCATAAAACAAGCTAAAATCCAACAAGTTGCCACCCTCAAACTAGATTTTATGCGATCTGAAAAGTTGGCACACTAATGCATACAGATTTTTCAGGATTTTTTTTTCATGGGAAAAAAAAAGAGGGGGGGGGGGTGTTGAAGCAAAACAAACATGTAAATTTCATTAGTGTAACATGAAATTCAATAAACTATAATTTCTAAAACACCAAACGTAAACTAATAATAAAACAGTTAAAAGTACTGCCATCATGCTTGTGAATGTAGATTCTAATTCCAGAACAAGCTGCGATTATAAAATAAATAAATCATGGAAAAAGGAATCTGAGCATTAATATGACGTAGATATTGCTCAAAAATAAAACTTATTGCATTCTATATAGGTGGTGACCGGTAAGGATGAACCCTGAACACAAAGTGACGGGGCCAGAATCATCTCACTCCATGCAGAGAGGGCCATCCATTAAACAAATGGTTCTATTCTTGTATTCTGTTATCCTGGTAAATACTCAATAAAGAAAAATACATCTAACCAACCCCAACTTCTGGACAAACAGGAGCCTCAAGAATGACAACAATTTGATGTATGTCATGGTACTGAATTAATAATTCAAACACACACACACACACACACAAAAAAAAAAAAAAAAAAAAAGGAAAGAAAAAGATACACGTAGAAGCTAATACACAACAAGCTACTTAGACAAAGTAACAATTGATTATCAATTTAAAAAGGTGGTAGGCTTGAATTTAAAAAGGTAACAATCTCAATATTCTATAAAGTGGAAGACATTCAATATGAAGTGGGAGGGCAGTAGAAGAACCTGAAGCGGCTCGTTATCATCGGTAGCTCCAAGCATTTCATTCACCATGTTACGACGCTCTGTTACATCCCCAAATGAGAGGCATTTTTCTATCACATTGGAAGCAAATTTTTGCTGACTCATTTGAACTATCTTCCCAGTCAACTTGACTATTATAGCAGAGCGTTCATGCGGCTTTCCATGCTCCAGTACATGCTGTAAAAACATTTAAAAGGTCAACATAGTTTTGCAATGAACGTGCCAACGAAAGCTTAATAGCATGTACAAATCACATTGTGTTACCAAGCAAAGTAGCAGATAAACAAACAGGTAAACAAATCACCCTCATTTTGCAGATACTTCAACTATCACAAAGTCTTAAGACACCCTTTCCAAATTTTAACACTCCTATAATCCCTAAAGTAATCAGCCTTCAACTTGTCACCAACTATAAATATCCCAAATGCCCATGCAACCAATATTTGGAACTACACTGTACGTCAACACTCTAAAAAATGAGAAAATATGTAGGTTATCTAAGGGTTTTCGGCAGTTGGCCAATAAGAAGAGAAGATTGGCATAATAAGGGGAGAGCAATTTAATCCGACCTAGACTGCCCAAATTGTCACATCCTACAATGAACTACAAGGTACTAGCACAACTATAGTTGCATATTATCAGGAGAAGAAGTTGGTCATCCGCATAGGTTATTTAACTCAATTTAAAGGAAGTTCACCACCACCAATCTACCCCCCCCCCCACACACAAACCCCTAATAAAAGAGCAGCAAAAAAATAGATTGAGTTAGCTCTTTAAAAATTGGCAACAGTGTAATTCTGCCTGAGTATTATGAGCTAAATTTTGACCATGTATGCGAGTAATGCCATATCCCTAAACACCATAAACATGTCTTCACCTTCTATAGATTGCACACGTGCATTACTCCGTCCCCTTTTGTTTGACCCATAGGGGTAAAGTTACTTTTTCCAGTTTATGGTTGAAAGAAACTGATGAGAGAGAAAGTGGTGGTGTATTGTGAGAGTAAAGTTGTGGTTCCCCACAACCAAAAATAGTATGGGGCAAACTTTAACAGAGACTATATAGTGACACAAGTTATGAACAAAAGCATGGTAACAACAGTATTCATTCACACCTACTCATAAGACTACAATAATTTTCTGCCATGATCAGCACCTGCTGAGCAGAGGGCTATCATCAATTCCTAAAGCCTAAAAGATAGCTGGGACTTAATTGAAAAACCTGGCAATAATATTTACAGAAGTATATAGCTCATCACTGAAATAATTAGTAACCCATGACAAACCTGGACAACATAATTTCCATACTGATCCTGTGCCAACATGCAAACAGACTGCATGATCTCCTCCATCACTATACGTTGAGTTTTTGCATCATTGCAGTGTTCTAGAACTCTCTGTAAATCAAAATTAACCAGTTAAGATTCACATTATCTCCCACTAACATCAGCTTAGCAGCTGCAAAATATTTTGATCAATAAGAAATTACAAAACTGGTAGTATTACTAAACCTGGATGACTCGACACCCATATGGATGGGTTGATAAAGTCACAACTTGATCGTAGAAAGTTGATATGATGAACTGGATAGCATCTTCAGGAATACACTCAATGCACTTTTGAATGACATGATTTCCATTTTGATCACGTACACAGCGCATCACTTGGCCATCAAGTTCCACAACCATCTTCTTCTGCTGGTCCAAATCAACAACTTCAATAGCCTGTTAAGCATGAAAAGGTATCAAAGTCAAGACATCATAGAAGGATGGCGCAAAACTTGATAATAAAACTTTGCCCTACTCTTGTTTTTTCCTTAAGGTCATTATTATGGAAATATAACAATCAAGAAAGAACAGCATAGAAATACAGGTAATACGACTACTATCCCTAAATAGCATCATCTAGTGAGAGCACAAAATTTCATGGGAAACATATATTTGCAAGAGCAACATTATCAGAAGGCCAAAAGTTTTGAAACATACTTTCGAGACGAAAGAGGAGAGCTATACATTACGAAACTTACGTTTGAGGTCAAAAGTTTTTGAAACTTATATTTGAGGGGGGACAAAGAATAATCCAACAAAATAGTGTAAACAGTACCTTCTGGATTACTCTACAGCCATACATTTGCAGGCTTAGTGTTAAAACATGACCAGTGAGCTTATCAGCCAATTCTCTAATTTGGGATGCAGTTCCATGCTCAAAAAACTGCAAAGAAAGCAATTGACAATAATACTAAAGTTATTCACACATTTCTACAGGATTTAGAGTCGAGAAATAGAATCAAACAAATAATAAGTCATGTTTACCTTTTGGATCACATAGTTACCAAATACATCTGTCATCAGAGACAAAGCTTGCGGGATTATTTCATGGAAAACCATGTTCTTCTCCTCTATTGAGGCTGTTTCAAGTTTCTGCTGGATAAAGCGACTCCCATATTGATCAGCACTGCAAAAATCAAGCAAGCAAGTTAAGCAATGAGAAGATACCAAATGGAGATAGAAATTGCAAAGAAACACACAAATTACATACCTGAACTCAACCACGTGATCAGCAATTTCAGAGAGCTCAAAACATTTAGTCTTGTTGCTTTTAAATTCGTCAAGCAGTGAAGAACCAAAACTATGCTCCATAAAGCCACCAGTTTCTGATCGCCAATTCCCCATCATGCCTGCAGCTAAGTTCCTCATCCCAGAAGGCATTCTCATATTCCTCTCACCATGTCTCAAAGGACTACCAGGTCCAACAGGAGAGTTGGGCATAAGTGAATTTGACAGATGGTTTCCAGCATAAGCTGTGTTAATCCCAAAAGCTGGATTGCCATAATAACCATGATTCATTCCGGCAGATTTACCAAGGTAAGGCCAACCACACTCTGATTTCTGGGGAGACAGCAATGTTCCCAAATAAGCTTTCTGAAGAGCTAGCAAATCCATGTAAGAATTGCCCCCGTCAATGGAAGGGTCATTCAGAGCCGCGAGCTGAGCAGCAGTACAATCATTTGATGTTAAGTAGTGCAAATATAAGGGGTCCAATTGGGATTGACTCCCCCCTCTGTTGAGATTTTGCAGTTCTGCGGCTGCAGCCATCAGGTTTACTCGTGAAGATACACCACCTCCCAATGCTCTGGAATCCAAGCCACCCACACCAATGGCTGAAGCAGCAGCATTTTCAAACAAAGGTGGCAACGCTCCACTGCCAAGCTGACCTGCCATCATTGACGCCAATGCAGGATTGATATTGTGCCCACTTAGACTGTAATTTGGAATGGCCGAGCTTGGGCTACCAACACTGTGAAAATTAGAAGGTGAGTTTGGACTGCGGTCAAATCCATCAGACCTCAAGTAATAGTTTTGATCCATTCCAAGACCACTACCTTTTCCCTTGGTGGAATATGAACCTTTAGCTGGATGGGAAAAAGACTGCTGCTGGAAAGGATTGTATTCAGCAGAATTCAAGTGAGAGTTCTGTTTAACATGATTATGTTCACCATGTAAATTGTAAAGGTTTCGTTGGTCACCAATCCCACGCTGAAATTGCGACCTCATTTGCCTCTCCTCCTCCATCTGAGGATCAGATGTTAAACTCATGCCAGACAAAGCAGCGACAAGATCCCCAGCAGCATGTGGGCCATTTGAAGTACCGTGCAGAGAACTAGGACTGTTGATGCTTCTTTTCTCCATAGAGTTAACCCTCCCTTCACCAGCTGTGGGGATCCTAGGACTAGGAGCTCTGGCTATGAGCTGAGGATCAGGTGTGGTGCTTCTTGACAGGGAAGCACCCAGAGCAGAAGCATAACTAAGAGAAGCTGAACCATCACCGTTGTGGGCTGCTGAAATGCCTTGGATATTCCCACCGACGCGCATAGCATCGGTTGAGGACATAGGAGCCAATTGAGCCTCGGAGGTTGCAATGCTCTCATCAAAAGCATTGCGGCTAGCAGGACGAGAAGGAATTCTTGCAGAAGAGTTGGAGTTAATCAGATCATCCTGTTTTATAAACCAATCTCCACATCAGAATAAGAACTTCAACAAATCCAGTTTAAGCATTTAATTTGAAACATAAATTGTGATCATGTAACAGGACTCAACAAGTGAGTATAAGCCATAAAGCCAATTCAAACCCCAAACAAGTCACCGAAAACAACCATCCGTTATCACACCAAGATTATCAAATTGAATTGAAATCTGACCATATTGCTGTTGTAAATATAGCTTTGAAAACAACCCATCTAAGACATTAATACACTCAATCAAATCTTTCCTATAGATTATGTAGCTCTCTCCTAATCCGCCAAATTCTCAAAACAGTTACACACAGAAATACACAAATAAAATCATAGCTAAAATGTTTAGCCTTTTTCAACACCAACCCTCACAAAGCCCATAAATTATTTGACTAATCAGATCTTTCTATTAAAAATAAAAATAAACAATATATGCTTTAGAATAGACATAAAATAAATCCAAACAACCAAAAAGGGATATTTTCTATCCTCAACTGTTGGATTAAAAACTACCACTATTAACATTCAACATTCCCTAAACATGAAATACACAGTACACCAAGAAGTGAACATTCTAATCCTACCAACTTAAGATAAACAAAAACATCCAATCAATAATTTCCAAAAAAACACAACCCAATAAAAACAAAATCTTTGACCTACATGTGAAGTAACTAAGTCTTCCAAACATAAATCTAACATAAACCCTAAATTTTTACATCATAAATCAATTAAATCATACAAAAAGTATTAAAAATTACCTGGAAAATTTCAGCAATGCTTTTCTGCCTACTTCCTAACCCTAACCCAGGCAACCCAACACCACTCCATTCATTCTGGCCATTCTCATCCTCTTTCTGCCCATTAAACCCTTTGGAAAACAATGAATTTCCCCCATTTATATTATTAATATCACCATTACCATTACCATCATTATAATTATTACTACCATTATTATTATTATTATTATTATTATTATTATTATTATTTCCATTAAACTCTTCACCTCTAATATTATTTCCATTATTATTATTATTATTGCTAACCTTCCTTCTATCACCAATCCCACCAAGCCCGGGCCCAGGCCCAGGCCCACCACCGCCCCACCGCTGCGCATACCTCCAATCTTCCTTGGACAACAATGGCGGCGGTAACCTAGGGTTTAAATTGACATTGGAATAGTAGTAATTAATGTAAGCTGGATCAGACCTCAGCTCTTCTTCCGTCACTTCTCTGTTCAAACCTCCGGCGATGGATGAACCGTCGACGGTCGGCGGCGCCGACGGACTTCGGAAAATGTCAAACCCTCTTTCCATATCCCTTTCCCTTTCCCGAAGAAGAATCCCTAACTCTTTTCCTACTAATTCATCGCCATAATCGATCGATCGAACTCCAACTTCTGAACTCATCTTTGAATAACTCTCCGTTATCATTCCATCCACTTCCAACAACAATCAATACCCACAAAAAAATTAAAAGTTGAGGTTTTTAAATAGCGAATTTGAGCTTGAATTTGGGGGAAAATCAAAAAAGGGGGAGAGAGAAAATTAGGTTAAATGTTGGGGGGAGATCGAAAAATCCCTAGAAAAAGGTTTATCGCCATTGTTGTGAATTTAAGAGAGAGAAAGAGGAAGTGTGTAAGGAGTGAGGAGAGAGAAAGTGAGAGAAAGAAGGGGGAATGATAAGCACGAGAAGAGGAGAAATCTGAGCCGTTGGATTAAGGAAGAGTGACGGCAGAGATTGAATCTGATGGTGAGATTTAGTTATTACAGACAGTGGCTGGAGAAAAGAGAGAGGGGGTTTGGTTTCCTAGTTTAGGGTTTTTAATTTCGCCGAGTTATTTTATTAATTAATTTTTTTTTAATATTTATTAAAATTAGAGATATTTATTAATTGAAAATAAATATTTTTGGTGGTAAAAAAAAAAAAAGGGAAAACTGAATCACGTCATGTAAGGGGAGGGTAAGTAGCCACTGAAATTATGGGAAGTATGACAGAAGAGAGAGAGAGAGTATTTGTGTAATCTAGGGCTTTCCATTGGAGATACCCTTGCTTCTTGGAGTTGGGTCCATTCTTATTTTGACACCAAATCAACAACCCCTAATTGCATTTTTCCTTTATTCCATCTCTGGGTTTGGATATTCTTTTATGGGCTTTTTACAAATCTCTGTAATGGATTCTATAAATATTCCCTTTGTCGCTTATTGATTGTTTTACTCTATATAATTAATCACATAATCCTTTAATAAGAGTTGTATTAAATGAATAGATAATTCTACTTTTTAACACGTGAGAAGTATAGATAGTTCTACCTTTTAACACGTGAGGAGTTGTATTAAATGAATAAATAGTTCTACCTTTTAACACGTAAGGTAAAAAATATTGTGTAGGATTAGTACGAGTAATTAAGAAGGAAGTGTATTAACTTAAAATGAAATTTGGAATATAGGTAACAGGTGGAGGGATAATATGTCAATAGGGCACTTTTTAAGTATGGCTATAATCGTTACTTGATAACTAGTGGAAGCTAATGGATCGACAAGTGGTTGGGCGGGTAGTAGACTAGTAGTCTGGCTAAACCGTACAATTCAAAGTATATATATTGATACGAAGATAAATATGTTGTTGTGAAAGTTAAGGCATGGTTGAGTATACAGGTGTATAAGTAACTATGTATAACGAGAAATATATATATATATTACTTATACTGAATATGCACTTCTTAATGAAATACACTTCATCTTAGTAAGTAATAATAGTCGTTGGGATTGAAAGAGGGCGTAGCTTAAGTAAAGTTCAATTGATGTGTCGGCATTTCCACACTCGCTATAGTCTTTGCAGCGCAACAATATTTGGGGTGCAGTGGCAAAATAACCATCTTCTTTCTTTCTTTCTTTCTTTAAACGAATCCAACCTATTACCAAACTTCACATATACCCTTTAGTAATCGCAACTACTGCCATAATCGATTAATCATTCAACACTCTTGCCTCTCTAATCACATAACTCGTTTAATTCTGTTGAGTTTTTATCATTTTATTATGTCATTTAATCATCTTCTACAATCTACACCCCTAAACCTCTTCTAATCGTACATTTTTTTATTTCAATTTTCTTTAAGATGAACTTATTTCTCCTAAACTTTATCTAATTCAATTAACCTCCTGGATGGGGAACCAATCCTTAAAAAAAAAATGTGTACACTCAATGGGATTGGATTCCCATTTGAGTCAATAATGGATCCTATTTAGTATTTACTCCATAACATTTGATGTCTCGTGAGAAAAGAGGTTAGATTGGAGATCAGAATTCCTACCTCGCCTGTTCATAGATGATAAAATTTGATTTCATAACCTTACCTTAACTTATTTTCTTGTAAAGAAAAACAATATTGTACTTCTTTAAGCAATTTTTAATTTCTAAAAAAAAAAAAAGCAATTTTCAGTTATTTTTGTTTAGAGGAAAACAATTTTTTACTACTTTCGTCAGTAATATATACTTCCATGTATGAGTTAATGAGTATGACTAATGGTGGCAGTATATATATATATATATATATATATATATATATATATATATATATATATATATATATATATATATATATATATATATAGTATAATGATAAAATATGTACTATAGGATTTATAATAAATATAATTACGCATGTAGTGCCACTATCATGATATTGCGGCATATGCCCTGCTCGAGTGTTTGGACAGGGACTTTTGTGTCAATGTCTCAAACTCTCAATATGGATATGGAATGAACAAAAAGTCAAATTTGGAAACAAGGCAAACTAAGTTTCCATCATCTTTTACTCCTAATTATTTAATATTTTTTGTTATGTACTAATACGACCCTTAAATATATAAAAAAAATAATAATAAAGCGGAATTGGACATTAAACTCTACTTGAGTTAGATACTTCGTCATATTTGAGTTACCTCGTGGAGTAAGATATAGTGTTTGGATTAGGAGGACATTATGTGTTGTAAAGCAAGAAGAGCTTCAAGAAACATAAGCATGAAATTATGCTGATTTGTTATGAATATACTCTTTACAACCCTTAAAAAGTGTTGGACATTAGTATGGAGTACTTGTCAAGAACAATGTAATAAATGTATAATACTTTGCACATTAGACTACAAAAAATATGTGTTACCATTTTTTCTTTATAGATTTTTCTGTAACAATTAAAGTGAATTTTAATTGAGAAAATACTGTCCATAAATATAAGTTGATTAAGGCCATAAGATATTTGTAAAACCCCATTACTCCATCTTGTACATGCTAAGAGTAAAGGCATGTGATGACTGTTAATGCTTCAGAGTTGAGTTTGGTAAATTTAATTAAAATAATGTTTGAAAGGATTAATTTAAATTAAAATAGACAAGACGAATTTAAACTGACGTGTAGAAAAGCTCTTTGATCTTCATCACATGACATGCTCTCTAGGGGCAAAACTGACCGTATACCGCATGCATGGCATTTCTGAAATTATCCTCTCAACTAAGGATCGATGCATGCCTCTTAAAGTACAGACGTATACTCCTTTTACACTACTCCGTACGTATAAACGGATTATTATGGCTTTATGTTCTACTCCGTATTCACCTATTTTTTAGTAGTAATTATTACTAGAAAAATGTTATACTTATACATAATCTTTATGGCTATATATAAGCATTAAATATGCACTAGAAAATTGTGTAAAGTTAGGAAATCATGAAAATATAAACACTTAGAAAATTGTGTAGAGTTAGGAAATCATGAAAATATATACACTAATTACATTGATTTACGCGTATTTTTGTCATGATTTTCTATATTTATACGAAGTACCATTTTCAAGAGTGTATTAAATGGTTATATATATCCCTTAGAGTTATACTATAACATTACGCTTTTTATTTTAAGAAGGTTTTGCATGAGACCGTTTTACGTGAGCCCGGTTATGATGCAAATACTCATCCCTACCCAGTACCCACTGCCACTACCTAGCCACTTGTCGATAGTCTGCGACCACATTTAATTTTTTATTTGTATGATTGGACTCACGTAAGTCCGTCCTACACAAAACTTTTACTTTTGATATTACTACGTATATTTTACGGAGCAATTTTTATTCACAAACCATAACTAAAAAGAAAATGCAAAATGAGGCAAATTCAACGGCTGTGCTTTAATTTAAATATAAAGGTATATAAAAGTATATTTCTGGGATTAAGTGCATTAAGTTCAGAGTATTCCAGTAGTGAATATCTTAATAAACGGCTAGTATACCAGTAAAAAGATAACACGTAGCAGCCATGTTCATTGTTCATTGAAGCATTTACCTACCATTTCGACAGCATCTAATTTTTCAAAGAGGAAAGCCACTATCCATTAGATAATTTGTAACATTTTTTTTAAAAAAAAGTTTAATTTCCTGGAAGCTGAGGTTGGTAGTAAATTTTAGCAGATCGTTGATTAATTTATTACAGACTGCATCATATTGTCAACCTTTTGCGTTACTTCCTTCATCCATCATACTACTAGCTAATAAATGTACCGTACCTTGGAATGAATTGAAGTTTCATACATCACGTGAGTCATCATAAGTTTAGCAAATTACAAGTTCTAAGTTTATGTTATGTATGAATATGAATCGAGGAATGTGTTATACTGTTATGTGTATTGGGATAACAATTTTTTTTATTTTGAGCTTTAATTGTCAGGCTATTTTTTTAATTAATTTGGTCGTTTAACAATAGCATATCTATCTTCCATACAACAAAAATTAAAGGTCACTACTGATATGTTTAGTAGTTATCAGTGAGGTTTTGGCCTAGTGTTTAAAATGATGATCTTATTTCGGATAGGTCACAAGTTCTAATTTCTCCATTTTTCATTTGTAATTTGTATTGCACTTATGACTCATTTCACAAAAAATTAAAAAAATAAATAAAAATAAAAATTAATAAAATTTTCACATGAATAATTTACAATTATGATTTAAAAATTTCCATATCAATGGAGCCGTAACATATAGTATTTGTACTGATAAACAAAATGAAATTTTATGTTAGTGTTGACGTGTTGTAGATTATCTGCCCAATGTTTTCATTAATTTATTTAAAGAAGAAAAAAAAAAAAAAACCCCTTGAATTTTTCTTGTTTCTTTAACCTGATTTTCAAGGAATAGAAACTAGAAAGTGGTGACATAGTTTGGGCTTGTATAGAACTGGGCCTGAATTATGTGCTGGTAATTCGAGGCCTCTGGGCTGTGTCATGGGCGTTCAGTATAATAAAGTTGATTTCTTCCCACCAACCAAATTTCTCCAATATGTAGTTAAGCCCAATGTCCTTGTCTTTACATTCGATATATATTTGAGTAAGTTTGAGGATAGGTTTTTTTGGATAAATGACTAGGTAAATTAAGGAGTTGACAAACATCTTTCTAAATTATACGGAGTAACAATCTAACTTAAAGATGTTTTGAGAGTATGGTACACTTGGGAAGTTGGGATTAAAAGGTTACCAATCTTGCTCGTTGATGACTAACAATATACATAGATTCGCTTGGATTACTAACAATATTTTAACTATTTATAAGGCATAAGATTCATTAATTTACTTGGATCACTAACAATGTGTTAGCTATTTATTATAATGTATAAGAATACATAGATTTTCTTGGGATCGTTAACAATCAGTATTCGGGATCTTTTACCAAAACAGCTAATTTGACAAAAGTATTTATCAAAACGGCTAATTATTAAATTTAATTCTCAAACTAGCTAATTTATTTAGTTTTAACTTGGAAGAATTTATCTATTTCTTATTTCCTTTGAACCGATTTTGTTCACTTTCTTTCTTTTTTTTT